GTGTATCTGTGTGTGTGCGGGCGTTGATGCATGTCAGTTTGTGTGGCGTGTGGGGCAGCAGCGTGTGCAAAAGGTCAGTTTTAGCTTAAAGGCGGCTTACGTCGTATGCCCGTCACATGCTTTGAGCCGCTTTTAATCGGCCCGCAACGTGGGTGCAGATACCAGGAAATGCTGAAGGTGGCAAAACGGGTGCAGTGAGGGGGCGTGTGCATTTATCAATTGCAATTGCAGCAACTCGTATCTATTGAGATATAAGCAAATGGCAACTGGTTTTATCGTACACAACTGTCGACATTTTTGCAGCCTATGCCAAAAGCTTGTTGCATAAATTAATTAAAAATGTAATTATCTGATTTTAATATCTGCAACAGCTGTGAAGAAATGTTGGATATTAAAGCTTAATATTTAAAATAAGCCGTCGTAGCTAATGGCGGCATTTTGTTGCATATGAATGAAGTTCGAAAGAAGTTAAAATGGGCGGGCGTGCTATAAAAAGCTTATCCAGGCGGTTGTGTGTCCTGGCTAAATGTGTCTTGGCTATGCTATAAAAACTGCAACGCATGTCGAGCTTTCTGCATACTGCAAAGCTTGATTGGGGTGGGGCTTTATGTAAAAGCTTTTATGCGGCTCGATTGAGTAAAGGATTTCGGGAATATTTAGAATTTATTTTTAACATATTTTCAAAACTCTGGCAACGTGCTTGTTGACTTTGGGTATAACAAATTTAGAATACTTGAAATAATATATCAAAAATAATTTTTTAAATATTATCACGAATGAATAAAAGAAACAGTCACCGTGGGTGCTTTCAACTTAATCAACTTTTCGATTAAATGTTTGAGAATTTTTCCAGCTCGATTTCAATAAAACTTTATTTAAGCTGCTTTTGTCAACGCCAACAATACTTAGTTTACTTACTTAACTTTAAATCCCTTTTTTACACTTGTACCACGCTCAATGCAAACAGTAAGTTTTCCACTTGTTCCACTTAGTCCTCAAACTGCACTGAGCGGCAACAAAGCAGAAAAGGTTGCCAACTTAAATAAAGAATATGTTTTTAATGTGACAAACGCAATGAATCAATTTTCAGCAAAAGGCAGCTTCCATCCGAAACGACAGCTAAAATTTCCGCTTCATTTGAACCCAGTTTGGCACTTCACTAAAAGAGGGCTGGCCCAAAGGATAAAAAAAAAAAGGGAAAATGTGAAAAACTGCAAGCATATGGCAGTGAAGGGGGCACCCGCCCTGGGGTCACGTCATTGAACACTCGAGTGGGCAGTCCCTTTAAATAGGTAACCGTCGCGTCCGCAGGTGGACACAGACCGCACACAATTTTCGGGCCTACGGGTTCACTGAATTTGATGAAATTAATAAAAACAATTTGTATTTATTATGTCGGGTCTGTTGGGTGCGAAATTTATTTTCAATTTGCCGGCGCGTTGAGGTCAGCGAAATTTACGTAATGCGGATAAAACACCGTGCGATGAGCGTGTGGCAGATAATGCGGCTAGTTTAAAGCGAGCTTTAAAAAAAAAGAGGAAGAAAAAAGTGTTGCATTTGCAAGGGCAATCTGGTAGCTGGAATTGGAAATGGCAGCGTCTCACGCCTGAGCCATAAATCAAATGAATTGAAAAATGCGTTATTAAATAAAAGGAGCGCAAGGAGCAAGGATGCAGCAGACAGGACGAGGGACAGGCGAACAGACAGACAGACGGACAGACAGACAGACAGCCAGCCAGCCATGTGTGCACACGAGTCCGTTTGCTGAAACGCCCCTAGAAATAACGAGAGATCGACTCGTGTTGCCAATTGCGCTTGGTTCCCGACAAAATTTGCTTTTATTGGCTGAGTTGGCGGAAAACCTATCAAAATATCATATTTATAGCTTGTTGTATAAACACCAAAGCAGTTTGTTTAGCTAAACATTAAAATTGCTAAGCTTCAACTTGTTGGGAATTGGAAGTAAAGCAGGATATTTGCTGTCTGATAAGCTCCTTACACAGTTAGTTGGCTGTTTTTCGGCTAGAATTAGCTTTTTACTGGCAACACTGCTGCTAACTGTCTGCCTGCGTTGCCAGCTTGTTGAAATATGCGCCCTGCTGCATTTTGATTTACTTTTATGGCTAGACAACTGGCAACCCATTCCCGACACCCGACCACAGCTCAAGGCAGAGGCAGATAGTGAGAGAGAGAGAGAGAGAGAGAGAGAGGGAGAGAGAAGGAGATGCCAGGACATGGGCACTTGTTGGGCTTCAAAATTATGTCCTGCAGGTGTCGGCGCCGCAGCTGATTAGCTTCAGCTTGACGCTAATGCGACAAGGGGGTTGCTTCCCGCGGGTCGCGGTTGGGGAACACAGTTGCCTGTCGACGTGCATTAAAATTCAATTATTAAACATATTTTGCAGCTGCATTACGTGACCATGGCTCAAGAGCCACAATCAAGGGTCAACAGTTTGCCAGCCAAGGGCAGGTTCGCACTTGTTGTGGGAGTAGGTGGCATGGGAAGGGGAAGGAAGGTCTAAGGCCACAACTCCCGCGCTTTACTCGACGACAGCTGTGGGTATTTATAGAGCACTCGCAGTGAGCTCCCATTTCAGCGCCTCATGGCATTGCATTAATTTCACAGATCAAACGCGTTGATGGACCGAAGCTAATGAAAATGTGGAGGGCGCACTGGCCCCCCGACCAAGCCACCAAGCCCATAAGCGCTTTTTAATGAAATGCGTGGTGAAATATGGGCGGGAGCTAGATCTGACAAGTGTTTAATAAACACACAAAATTATGTTGTAGCACACTCCGTTGTGGCAGCTACCAAAATTATTTCGCCTCCTTATGCTAAGCAAATGGTTTACAAGGTGAAGAACTTAATTAGGAGCAATAAGTGCGCTCTTTTAAGAAAAAGTTCCATTTAAGTAGCCCCAAATTGGGCGCCGCCGCTTAAAAAACTGTCAAGCTTAATACAAACTCATATTAGTTAGACTACAAATCTTGTGGGAGTGTGAATAGTTTTAGTTTGGGCCCTGAAGCTTATCTAAGGCAGTCTCTTTTAAGCATACATATCTTAGGCTACAAACGGTTGGCTGCCCAACTCGTTTTCCTTTATTTTTTATAGAAAGGTACAAATATGATAACCTGCGGAACAACAGTTCTAGTGCATCCCACCTTGGCCTTTGGGGCTAATTAGTGCAGTCACATTATATACGAAAACAAGATCCTAAGATTCGAACCCGGAACATCGCTGTTTGCCTAGGCTAATTCTTTTTTCTATTTTCTTTATATATAAGTACAAATATAATATCATTTTCTAGCAAAAATTTGCCGCAAATTGGGTGCCAATTTATTAAACTCTTCTTAAAAAAATACAATAATTTGAAGCTAAACTTAAAGCTACAGCAGCTCGTCGAAGCTGTTGAGCATCCCACCTGCTCATAACTCATACGAGCAGAAAACTTCTCCCCCCAACGGCGGGTCAGAGATTTAGCCGCTCCTGTGCACACGTTCAATTCGCTTGTTAACAGCAACTCTCCATAGATACCTTTGTTAACTGAAGTGCCAAATGGCAAGTGGTTCGGTTCGAGCCATTGCTATGTAACTGCGTGAATATGTATCTCAATATCCATAAACGGAGAGTGTGTTAAGAGGGAGGGCGAGTGGAAGTGAGGCGTGGCTTACACTTTGACAGGTGAGCATTGTCAATTGTCAATTGTCAAGTTGTCGTCTGTTTGGCTGCTGTTGACAATTTGCAAATGACATTTGACAAGCCGCCCGAGGAGGAACTCAAAAACCTGAGCCCCGAGCTGAAGCCTGGAGTCAACATCAAGTGGATTTTATGCAAATTGCCAATTTGAGCGCTGGTTTCGGTTTTGGATTTGCTTTTGGCTTTGAAGAGGCTGCCAGCGGAAGTTGTTAGGGTGCTCAAGTGGCTGCCATGACAATTAACTGCTTCAAATGCCGAGTTCCTCTGCCACGCCCCTGGCCGCTGACAGCTATGCCCAGCTGCGCCTGACACCAAAAGTGTGGCCAAATTGTGCGTGGCAAACAGATGCACTCAGGCCTAAAGCCAAAGTCAAAGGGAATACTAAAGCCGGCGGCAGCGTCTCTGGCATTTAAGTGCCGTTTTATGGACTCCACACGACACACACACACATTCTCTCTCTCATACACAACATGCCACATTCGAAGACGCCGCAGAACAGGCGACAAACTTCTTGGAACCCAAAACAATACCAAACCGCACGAAACGATACTCTGGCAATTGGCTTGTTGACTCATTGGTGTCAGCTGTGGAGGAGCTGCACAGAAATGACTCATGGATTGATTGAATAACTGGAAACGAAAGTGCGGTCATTAGAGCGCCAAAATATACGCTTATGTATATAAAATCTTATACAATTAATAGTGTAAATAATTAATAACGGATAATACAGCCCAGTAAAAAATATATGCCCACAGGCGTGGATGCAATTACTATAATACAAAATGTACACAAAAGTTTACACAATTATCCGTCGATATTATAATCAGGAAAAAAAATATATAATGTGTATTAAAAAGTTTATGCAATATATATTGCATAATTTAAACAAAAATGTACTACCTCAAGCATAATCAAAATTCAACTGTTATTTATGAGAGTTAGTCTTCGTTTATATTCCGGCTAAGCTTTAAGAGCTTTTGAGAATAAGACTTAGCCCATTAACATTTTTTAATTAGAAAAACCTACAAAGCTGCATACAAAATCTTTTCCAATCGAAAAATCGTGAATTATAATTTTTGTATCATAAAAATACTTATATCTGCTTTCTTTAATTTTCAGACAGAAAATAGAATCGATTGTTTTCTCTAAGAGGCCTATAAAATTGTAAAAAAAAAATCAATTTCTTAAAAGAATTCTGCATTTATCAATTTAAAAAAATTGAAATTAATATGAAATTTTTTATTTACGCCCACTTTATAAGAAATTCTTGATAGATATGATTGAGAGATGCTTGTGCACTTACCGTTCCTCAATGGTTGTTGGTAGCTGTGTTCTGGCTCGCATCATGCTGAGAAAGTGTTTGCCATGGGCGACACCGCCCGTTGATCCTGTGCCGCCCAAGCCGCTGCTGCCCTCGGACAGATAGCCGTTGTCGATGTCATGATAGCGACTGGCCGCAGCAGAGCTGCCCACTCGCAGCGCATCCCCGTCGCTGCAGTAGCCCTGTCCAATGTCCGACTCGCAAAAGTCCAGATAGGATTGGTGTGGATGCGGTTGTCCGCCGCGTGCGCCACGCGTGGGCAGCGTCACATGCGAATTGTAGCCGCGCAGCAGAGGGCGCATGGGCAGCACCGAGGAGGCGGACGAGGAGCTGGCTGTAGAGGACGGCAGCTGCTCCTCTTTGGACTCGTAAATGGTGCCCACTATTTTGGAGGGTATCGTATGAAATTTGCTGGGCGAACCGGTGGGCGTATTGGGCGCTGAATTGTGCATTGGACGCTGCAACGGCAAGCGCGGCGACTGTGCCGCATTAAGAATATGGGGACCCGCATTGTACTCCAGTTTGCGTGGTGCACTAAGCGCGGATTTCGGTGGCGGCAGACGGCTGCTGCCATAGATGCCGCCCTGCTGCGGTGTGCTGGGCTCGCTGAGGTAGCCCGAGCCGCTGCCAGAGTAAACAGCTGATATGTGATTGCCCGAGGATGAGGGCGGCGGCGGAGGCGGCGCATTGGCATAATATGGAGGCGGTGGTGTCGAGGGCAAGCCCTTGAGGATATGTGTGGCTTGGCTGGCAGCCGATTGCTGCGGCTGCTCCTGTGATATGTTGCCCTGATTGTTCGATATGTCGCTCGATTCACGCTTAAACAGCTCACCGGAGCCATGGGGCACGCCCAGCTGCGGCAACTTGCTGGTGCCTTTGATGGCCGCAATGGGTTTGGGTAGGCCCGTGCCGCTGGGACTGTGCAGGAGCTGCTGCTGCTGCTGCTGTTGGCTCTGACTCTTCAGCGAGCACTTGGAATCGGATTTGGAGTGCAGCGAGGTTTTGGAAGACGTCTTCAGTGTATTCTTCTCGGCATTTCCGCGTGCCAGCGTATTTTTGCCCGCACGTCCCATTGTGGAGCTGCGCGATTCACTGCCCGAGAGCGTCTGTTGCTCCTCCTTGTGCAACGAACGGGCCGGACTCTTCTCCTTCTTGTCCAGCTTATTGGGTTTGCCTTGATCCTTCTTCTGCTGCGCCGCCAGCAGCTTGGACTGCTTTGTGTTGTGCTTCTGTTGGCTCTTCTGTGCGCTGACACTAATGCTTGGCGGCTTTATCTGCGAATTGTGTCCATCGTTGAGGCTCAAGCTGGAGTCGGAGCGTTCGGAGCGCGCCGAACTGAAGCCCGAGGAGGAGGAGGTGCGCTTCGATTGAATTTGCGTTTTATTGGATGCAACTGCTGCTGTCGCATTTGCTGCATTCTGTTGCTTCTCCTTGTTGAACAGCTTCAGCTTGTCCAGCATTGAGTGCTTCTGCGGCGCAGTGGGCGCATTCAGGCTGCTCGGCGAGGGAATGCCGCTCTGATGACTGCTCTTCACACTCGGCGGACGCAGGCTGCAAGAGAATTGAGAATGAGAGAGTGATTAGTCACAGTTCATTTGGGCAACCTGACCAGGTACATCACTTACCTGTTGTTGTTGCCGCTCTTCAGACTCTGGATGGTGTGATTGCTGGTGGGCGGACTGTTTGGACGGCTGCTATTAAAATCGCTGCCGCTCTTGCCCAAGCCCGGTATGGCTGTGGAGAAAATAAAGATGAAGAATAAGTTAAAGAAGCAGAATGCTGAATGTGAGTTCGTTAATTCCTGTCTGTCTGCTCCCGAAGCGGCGCCCACTTGAAGTTGTCGCCGGACAGCTGACATTTCAAAGATGTCTGTCGAACAGAGGCACAGCCAATAAATCAATGCTAAAGGCCAAGCGGACATTAAACTTAATTAATTACTGTTCGTGTGTTGGATGGTGAGAGGGGGCGGAATGGGATAGGTAGACAGGCAGATTTACTGGCACATTTACAGAAGGTCTCACGCACGGCCACATAAATCTTCAAAAAACCAAGTGAAGCCTCTCAAAATATGATTAAAATTATATTTCAACTTTAATAATTCCAAAAGTAGTATAATTACAGTAAACTGAAACTTTTATTATTGGGAGAATCAATTTTAAATAAATCCCATACACAGGAGTTACTCGTGTAGCTATTTCCGTCTCTCTGTTTCTATGCGAACTATGTGAACTAGTCTCTCAGTTTTAAAGTTCTTCTATGGCCAAAAAGATTATGGGCTTCAACATTGCTGAACTTGGGTAATTACAAAATATATAATAACTACAACTAGATAATTATTTCTCCTCATTAAATGATTTATTAGCAGCTCATTTGCTGGGTTAGATTAAAGTCTGTGATAAAGTTCCTTTTACGGAAAATTCCCAACGGGATGCTGGCGCTTAAGGTGGCATCCATTTAAGACCTCAAATCAGCGCCACACGCATTAATTACAGTTTGTACCGCAGCGACAACAAATCAACTGCAACAAAATATGCGCAATGAGGCGCTTTTTTGAATAGCACGCGCCTCCATTCGAAGCACTACAGCCCCATCAATGTATACCCAGGAGTGCTTTGATGATGTGCACGCTGGGAATGGAACACGAGCCAGGTCGAGATTGTTACCCCTTTACGACAAAATCCTGGAAACAGCAAGCGTTGTGCTAAGTGCATTGGCATGCTCCGCTGGGGGTTGTTTGCCTGGCTGTGGACCCAAAAATTTGTTTGTGCCCGGTAAACAACAGAGTGCAGCCCTGCCCAGGGGTTGATTTTCTTCTTTTTTTTTTTGAAAAGCATTTTTTAATAAATTTCCCAAACCAGCTGAAGTTTATTTTACTTACATGGCGTATGATTCGGAGTCGGGGGCAGCGGGCGCACCTTGTCCGGTGGGCAGCGACGCTGGACCATGACAGTCGCGGGCAGCGGAATGGCTGTGCCGCCATTGACCTTCGTATAGGCGGGCGCGATTTGTCTGTAATGAGCAGAAATATAAGTTTTAACATTAATAAAGAAGTAAGCAAAATATAAGAGTTAAAAAAATGCATAAAATACAAACAATATGCTGTGGAACCGCAGGCTCATATCTACTTCTAAATACGCTTGGGTTTATGGGCTTGTTTTTATGGCAGCCGCCCACGCGGCTCTCTCAGGCCGTAGAACACATTTACAGCTTGTCTGGGGCGTGATTTGCATGAGTTGCGGTCACAGTATCTGTCAGATACATTTTGCCTTATACTTATCATTAACAATTTATACAAACTGCGACATAAAAATAATTTTACACTGCCCTGAACGTTGATAAATTAATGAAGTTGCCGGCGAACCCCTTTTTCTTTCTGCTGCCAAAGAACTACACAAAAAAAAAACGCTTGGCAATTGCAGTAAACACATTTTTACAACATTTTTACGAGGCGATTGCGCGAAATGAAATAAAAGACAAGCGTGCCCATAAATTTGCATATCATTGCGAAAAGATACTTTTGTATCTGGCAGTCGTTCGCCATAAAGAGCGTAGCTAAGTAGGCTTCAGACGCATCGCTTGATTAGCCGTCGACGTCATTTCAATGCAAAGTTGTGCAATTAAATCTAATTTTGCGCTTTTATTGAGTCAATTAAATTTGATTGGTAATTTAATTTCATTCAAATTGGCCTTAAAACTATTTCATAAAAATCAAAACTAATTGGACTTAATTTTTAAGAAGTCAAAACTAAAAAAAAGTTTTAAAACATTATCTTGGCCATTTTTAAAATAAGCGTTCAAAATATTGAAAAAAGAAATATCACATGCAAATCGAGACGTAAAATGCGATGTTTTATTTTTAAAATCATTAAATCTCCGTTTTATGTAAGTTCGTATTAAAAGCCTTTGGGATACGTTGTAAAAATACTTTTAAATGGGAAAGGGAGTATTTTTATTTAAAATAAGAACATAAATGCAAATCACAATACATTAAAATGAAAAAATAAAAATTTTTGTTTTAAAATGAGCCTCAGAAACTTGTTTCTGGAGATTACAAGCCGAAAAATTTGTAAAAAGAAATATATAAATATAATAAAAAAAAAACATTTGTTCTTGATTTTATTTTGCATTACGGCAAAGTTTACAAGAAGTAAGTTAGTGAATATTTAAATTGCAATTTACAATTTAGTTTTTTTTTTATAATAATATATTTTCTACTCTACTTAAATTTAAATGTCAATTAGCTTCCAGCTAACAACATTTTTGAAGAGCTTATCTTAAGTTTCTTAGCCACTCTTTTAATAAAATTTAATATTATTATGCAAATATATGAAATTCAGTTTGAGTGCCTTTACACACACATACGCGAAGCAGGAAAATGGCTTTTCCCCTTTCCTAGCTACATTTTTTTGCAATTACTCAAGACGCTGATTAAAAACGCAAATAAAGTAATAAAAGAGACTGGCGCAAACTTTTAATAAGTCGCGCTCATAAAGCTTAGCAGGGGGCGCAGACAAAGCCCAAGCTAAAAGATACATTTGTATCTTATGGCTGCCTGGCACATTGTTGTTGGCCATTAATAAGGCAGGCTAACAAAAAAAAGAAAAAGCTGTACGCAACAATTGTATTAAATGGAGAAAGAACAGCTCATAAAAAACAGAAGACAAGCGCAACACAGACAAATGAAGTTGGCAGCTGCGTTGGCATTGACTTTCACGTTGACTTTGCTCCTTTGGCGGAGATCTTTTGGTCCTGTTGCTCAGCTACTGCAAATTAAATACAAGAAAGCGCCCGCTACTTTCGGCTGCCTTTAGCTGCTTTCGTCAGGCGTCTGTCACGCCGTTTTCCTTCAGACTTTTCCAAATTACTTTTCATATAATTTTATTTGCATTTTATTGTTGCGATTCGCTTTTCCGCCAACATCTTTGGCCATGTTGCGCTCTGTTTGCCAAACAGTCGTCAAGTTAAAAGCCAAAGCTGTCTGCCGAGTTTTATTCGCTTCGGCAAGGATGTCGATTGTCTGCATATGTTAAAAGATACAAGTTCCTACAATATGTCTATGGCAGCAGGCAGCATGCAGCTGGGGCAACATGTGTGCGAGGGTTGCTCGAAACTTTTATACATATATGTACACTTGGATAATTATACGATATTTTAAAGAGACAATAAAAACTAAATCAATTTTCTTGTGCTATCCCAGTTTTTGTAGAAAATTTAAAAATTTAGTTTTTAATTCATTTCTTAGAAACTGTGTTAGGTAAACTATATTGGGAAATATTTACTCATATTCTCTCTTAGTGCCGCGCAATAAGAAATTTGTGTAAGTTCTTATTTTTTAAATCATTATTATTTTTAGGCAACCAAAATAACATATTTATATTATTAGCGAGCAACCAATAAAAAATCTACTCTATTTTCAATTACTGTTCATTATTTAAAGAGCAACCCTCATTGCATGGAACAGTTTCTTTAAGCAACAGCAGCTTGTTAGCTGCAACATGTATTCAGAGTATCTGCAGCTTTGCATCTCTCAGTTTCAGGTGTCGCATGTAAGTTCCTGATGCGCGGGGCGCCACGTTTTCTGTTTCTGTTTCTGTTTGCATTTCGCGCAAATTGAATTTTGCGTCTTTATTACGCATTTTTGATTTGTAGCTGTGCGCAGATTTTTGTTGTTGTGCACAGTCAAATGTCTTTGACCTTTGCTGTGCGAGCGTGTGTGTGTGTGTGCGTGAATATGTGTGTGTGTCTCATAATAGCCTGACTGCTGTTCCTGGCTCGCTGGTGGCATTCACCTGTGCGGCACGGCCCACGCAGTGGCAGTAACAGTTGCAGTAGCTGTTGCAGTTGCATTTGCCAACGCAGACCAGTCACTGAGCATTTCCGCACAACTGCGGTGAGTGTGGGGAGGGGGGAGAGCCAACTATAAAGCGTGTCGTTGACGGCATTTGCTTGTATAAATATGAAAAAGTTCCCTATTACCCGCGCTGCCCTCCCCCTTTGGGTGGGGGCAACTCCACCGGCTGCCCATTAGTTGCATTTGCGTTGCATGTTTGTTGCTTTTGTTGCTTTTGTTGCTTTTGTTGGCGCACAATGTGTCACTCGAGTTGCATTTGTCATGGCAGCAGCAGCTTCTAAAAGCCAGACTCCAAGTGCGTGGCAGGATCCCGGCGGAACGACGGCCCCAATGACTCTGGAGCTCTGCCCTGACCATTTTGGGATATTGCCAGTTGCCTTATACGAACCGCGGGCGTTGCAACTCTTTCGCTTTTATTATGGCTTACACATACTTGCGATTTGTTGCCAACGCCGTTTATGGTTAGCTTTTTTTTCTCTGTTTGTATTTCAGCTGGGCCCTTGACTTGGCTGCAGCAGATGCCGGAGATATCTTTGGGCTTATTTGTTATACTTCAAGAAGATTGACAGGCGATAGGAAGAAAATAAATATTCCATGCCTAGCCGGAGAAAGGCTGCGTGAATATTAGTTTAGTGTCCGAGCCGATTTAATGCAAACATTGGGTCACAAATTATAATATTTAAGGCCAGGATTTTAAAAGCACAACTTTTTTATATTTCAGCGAATCTGAAATCTGCTTTTCCTAACTTCTCCCTACTTTTTAATTAAAATATTAATAAACACAAAATGTTCGACTATAATTCAGAGCAGTATAATATTTATAGGTTTAAGTTCCGCTACGTGAATATATAAAAAACAGGAGTCGCAACGTGAAAGGAGTTATTTACATTTTTTTTTCTTGTGATAAGTTTTCATCTGTTATGAGCTATCTTTAATATTTTGGGAAAGTTTATCGTAATTTAGACAGCACACTTTCACTCGGCAGTAATTTAAGCTGCTCACAGCTAAGTTAAGCTGTCTTTGGGTGCATTAGATAGTCAACTAGCACCTCCAGCAACTGGCCAAAGCAATTTCTAATTTATCTTTGTAGCCCAAAAACCTTTTGAACCTGGCCACAACTGTTGCCATCGCCGTTGCGGCCGTTGAGGTGCAGTTTATACCGTTAAGCTCAGAATATATTCATAAATTTGCCACAGCAATTTTACTGGCTACCGCGAACAGCCCGTTCGACCGCCTGTCAGCCACAGTCAACCGATGCAGACAAGAGGAGGAGTGGCAGGAGTCAAGAAATTTATGTGAGGCTGTCTGGCAAAGAAGCCACCCGACAAAAAAAAGTTGCCCAACTCATGAGCCGCTGGCTCCTTGTTGAAGATTTCTTGTTGTCGGTCTGCGGGTCGTGCTGGCTGTGAGCATTTTTGAGTAGGTGTTGAATGGTTGATAATAAGCGTAATTATGTGCCATTGATATGCCCGCAGGAGTGGCCAACTGTTAGAGATTACTCCAACAGCAGACAGCCGAAGATCAGTTCCCAGTCAAGGGATAGACCAGACGACAGGCAGGAAGCACAGCGCATTAAACCTATTAAGCTTTTAGCACAGGCTGGCATAATACATGAAAAAATTGAGTAGAGAAATCAGAAAGAAGTCAAACGGAAGCAAATTGGAAACCTTCTTAATTCGCTTATTTATCTGAAGCTGCTTTAACTTTCTATTAAGCAAAGCTAAGTTTAAGTGCTCGTAATTTTCAATCTATAATCGTTTCAATGCATAACTCAAACCAATTTTTGAGCGACCAGTTGTAAAAATTGATGCTTTAATTAATATACATAAACTTAAGATAGATAAATAAAAAATATATATATAGCCTACACCTTAATAACAATTACTTCAATATTTTTTTTTGTATATATAAATTGATTTTAAAATCAAATAAAAAGTTGTCTAGGAATTTAATATTCTCAAATATTAATATTGTATTAAATTCTTCACAAAACACAATTCGCGCACACTCTGCTAGTAATTCATAATTCCCGGATAGAAACCAATCTTTTAGCTGCAAGTTTGACAGCTTTGTTTTCAACTAGCAGCCATGTCAAATGGCTCATATTAGAAATTGTAATGCGAGACGCTGAAAAACGTGTTCATCTTAAAAGTCGTGT